CTTGCCAGCGTAATGGCAACTTGTAAATGCCATTTTTAAAAAATGATTTATTTTTAGAGGCGAAGAACTCAACTAGCGTTTGGTTGACATCGGCTTCAGTTTTGAATTTTTTTCCTGTAAACAGTTTTGCAAAGAGAGAAACAAGTGATAATCGGAGGGTGCTAGGTCTGGGGAGATGGCGGATGCGACAGAATTTCCCAGCCTAGTTCTGCGATTTTCTGACGAGTCACCAAAGCAGCATGTGGTCTGGCATTATCATCGGTAGCCATGTTTTCACGATCGCGTCTCGCTTAATAATGACACGAGACATCTTTGTTTCAGTTTATTTAGGAGAGTACATGTGTGCAAATGCAATGATAAAGAGAGATAGTCATATATGTCTGAAATCAACATGTGCATATGGATTGAAACTTGAAGTGACACTATCGGACAGAACTTTCCGGTAGACCTAATAATTGCAGACAGTACAGCTAAATAGTCCTGATCCCGACGAGACATAGGGCAATCTAATTTGTAAGAAATCGGATGCAAAAATATATGCTGAATGACCTCAAAGTCTGTAGATACATTGATAGGTGCCCAGAAAAATGAACGGTACGCGCAATTTTAGAGCAAACAATGGTAACGTATACATTCGTAATGGTATTATACGTATGTACATTTCGGAAGCAGTTAGCTAATGTTCAATATCGAACAGTATCAAACGTCGCAATAGCGCTGTACCTAAAACAGAGCTAGATAAATTGCAAAACCGGCCGGCTCCCACGTTCCCGGAGTTCACTTCGAAATCACAGGCATTATTTTCGTCAAGGACTAATTTAGGTAGGCTAAACGCGCGTTTTCCTTTTCCGACGTCGTCGGTAATCCGCGTCATACATTGTTCCGACTCGATGCGGACTGCAACGCGCAACTTTCGCTCTGCGGTATTTTTTTTTTAAGCCGGATAATAGAAATCGTGCTTCAATTTAAAATTCAGCTCATACGCTCGCGCACAAACGTAATACGCAATTTGACCTTTTCGGTGTGCACACGCCTTGCGAACCGGCGGGTTCGCGGCGGGAAATCGGTCGAAGAGACGGGATTCCGTGGGGGCCAGCCCACCTCGACGAACAAAATCTCATAAACTATTTCAACGATCTTCCAGATCGTCTAGATAATTTCTGCACGCATGAGGGAACAAGATCTCGCTTACGAGCATCGAAAGAAATTCAGAGATCTTCGCTATACGTTCGAGTCTTGAACTGTTTAGCTCTTGCGATCTCTTTGAAAAGCGTGAAACTAAAACGT